CTTGGTCAATAAACCTGGCCCTTCTTCAGAAAAGGTTGTGCATCCCTGATTAAATGAAGTAAATATTAAAAAAAACTTGGCAGACGGTGTTTAATTTTTAAAATACAAAACATTTTTGTATTTTAAAATTTAAACACTGTCTGTCAAGTTTTTTAATATTTACTTCGTTTAATGCATTTTATTGTGAATTTGGCTAATCTCCAGGAGACGCTGTTCCAGTTGCATATTGTTGCAAAGCAGTAGCCTCTAAGGAAAGGTCGTCTCCGCATATAAATTTGTTCTGGACTGCGGATGACACAAAAGACGGAAGGAAAGTGAAGAAGTTTACGAAATATTTTGTATCTAAAAAAATGACTAGAAATATTTAATTAATATTTATTAATTAATTTAGAAAGTTCTGTAAGAAAAGAATCTGTCCAGAGGTGGACTTGAACTCATAATTTGTGATTTCACTAGAACTGATAGTGGCAAGTGGTCAGAGTTGTTGCAAGAACTGACTAGAAATATCTTGATCTCCTTTTAATTATGTTCTGTGCAAATCTTTATGTGAAATATGTATTGTCAGTAAATTGTATAGTTTTCTAAGTTCATTATAAGTCAAGGATTTTTTTTTTATCGAAGACTAATTTAAAACACAATACTATTGTCATGCAAAATGTACATTCTCTTGAGTTAACAAAATGCCATTTTTCTACCAGTTTACTTGAAAGATGAATATTATTTTTGGTTTTGGTTCACATCATTTTGTCTTAACAGCTAGTAAAAACACAATAAATAAGCATAAAGATAATCATAATCGTAAATGAATAAGATTCAGTTTCCCTAAATTTTCTGCTCATATAAATTATTTTATATGGTAAAGCTTTTTGTCCTATAGTTTATTTCTTCATATGTACAATAACAACATGGTTATATTTAAAGGACAATTTCACCACAGATTGTTGGTTGACACACTGATATCATTTATTCTATATTGGAGAAAACAAATATAAAATAAAGGATATCTGTGTGCCAACCTATGACCTGCAGTGTGATTGTCCTTTAAGTATAACTATGTTATTAGTGTACATGTGAAGAAATTAATTATTTTGATCAGTTCTTATGTTATAGGTATTTCAATGGGTTACTCTCTCTATGTATTATTTTCATCTACAATACTCTTAGATCGACTCAGAATTTAGCTTGTTTGTCCTTAACTAATTTTTGTCATTTATCTAAATATTCAGTTTTTTTTTTATTGTGCTGTTACTGCAGTTTTAATTTGGAATCTTTTTTATTTTTTGATTTTAAATATTTTAAAATCAAAAAAAAAAATCTATCAATCAGTCTTTTAAAAGACTGATTCATAGATTTGGATCAGTCTTTGCATAGCTATACTGGAGCACTAAAAAGTATCTCCTGTAAAGTCATAGATTCCACTTCTGTTTTTCATTCAATAAAATATGATTTTAGATCATGATGATAGATCACTTCTAGATTTGAGGATTGAAATATATTGAAAAAATAAATAATTTTCATATATATATTACATTTGAAAACTGATAGTTTTTGAGAAAATTAGCATTTTTTGATTTCAACCAAAACTTGAAATATAATATATAAATTTTCGTCTGCAAGTACGTATTTTCTAATATCAGTACTTATTATACTGGTTTTACAGATAATGCTACAGAGTCACAGAAAACAATTTTTGTTTTATTTAATATACCTGGACACATACATAATATTGCATTTCGGATCCTTTTGTCCCTCTTCAGCAGGTATTTTTGTAGTACATTCTATTAAAACAATGAAATAATTTTAAAATTACATTTTACATTTCCCAACAAACTTATTTATCTACATTAATAAAATTCTTACAATTTTCAAACTTTCTTCTTTCATTTTTAACTCCACCAGGCATTCAATTTTGACTAACTACAACAATAATACTGTAAACTTAAGCCTGTATTAAAACCAAATTATTATATTAATGTTTTACATAATATCTGGTTTTTTACATTTGTAAAACCTGCTGAAGAGGGACAAAAGAATCCGAAATGCAATATTATGTATGTGTCCAGGTACAGTGGTACCTCGTACAACGTACTTAATCCGTTCCAGGTGCACGTCCGTTAAGTGAAACGTCCGTTATACGAAACGCATTTTTTCATAGAAATACATGTTAAAACATATAATACGTTCCGCAGCATAAAATAACCGTACTGTACCATAAAAAATGAAAATGGAGCAGACACCAATTATGCCGGGTAGTCAGATGTTGTGAGGAGGAGGTGGAGGAACACTTTCTTCACGCATTCATACAGATACAGACTTTGTACACATTGCAGCGGGTGTTTTTTAATCGGATTCAGATTCAGGAGAGGCTACCAGAGCTTGCGGGGTCAACTCCTCTTGTTCCATCCTTTGTTTTTTGCCCGCTGGCTTCTTGAAAAACATGACCAAAGTGGTCTGTTTCTCTTTCTTCTTTAACACCTGTCGGAAATGACGGACAAAGATGTCATCGTAGAGATCATTGATCCTGTTGGCCTCAGCTCTGTTTGGATAATGAGTGTTGGTAAACTCCTAAACCTCTCCCCATTCGACAAGAAAGTTTTTGTCAACTTTTACTCCTGATGATTTCTTGCTTTATTTCAATTGAAATCACCTTTCTGTTTTTTTAGAAGCCATGATGCATTATAAATGACTTAACTTGCCAGATTATATGATACGAATAATTCTTTATTAATTAAGATCACTAAACACTTCTACGTGCTACTCTCGCTCCGTTTGTTTTTTACAACCTCTTTTCGTCCCGCCACCTCGGCATCTACACAATTACATTTCGTTTATTTGAATCGTCAACATATATTACATTACATTTAATTTTAATGTTTATTTAAATCATCAACATATATTACATTACATTTCTACTTCAGATATACTAATAATACATTCTAATAATACTAATATATCCTAAAAATAGCAAATTGTCATTGGCAACGGCAAAAGAGTGGAAACATCATTCGCACTTGTTCGAAAAAAGTCCATTGTGCGTCTCACGTAACTGCCGAACGGAAAGTCCGTTGTTTGCTTGCAGCAAGTCCGTTGCTCGAGTCACGTAACGGTCAAACAGAAAGTCCGTTATTCGCAACGTCCGTTATTCGAGGCGTACGTTATACGAGGCACCACTGTATATTAAATAAAACAAAGATTGTTTTCTGTGAAACTCTGTAGCATTATCTGTAAAACCAGTATAATAAATAGTGATATTAGAAAATACAAACTTGTAGACGAAAATTTATATATTATAGTAAGTCAAGGACATTGAGGCATTTTAATCAAAACTTGAAATACTTTAAATGTTTGATGGTTGGCAAGTGGTAGTTGTTGCAAGAGATAGAACACTTATCCATGGGATCTATACTTGAGCTAACATTATTTTCCATCAACTTATATATATATATAAAAATGGACGTGTGTGTCCCTATATTTCACTTTTCAGCGAAAACTACACATCACACGTGAATTTTATGTTCAAATTTGTTCAAATTTAATTCGAACAATGTTTGAATTTGAATTCAACATAAAATTCGAATATTTATTTGATTATAGAACGATTGTAAACGTTCCAGAAACGTTGAAAATAGTTCGTTTGACTGGACATGAACAGGAGACATTCAGAAATAGAATCGGGACCAGGTCTCTAATTAGTCTGGAAACGGGGGACCTAATTTTTGCATTCTGTGAAAACAGGTAAGATTGGCTATAATGTAATTATCTTAATCTTCACTATAGTTACTTTTTGCCCAGCGAAGCGGGTCCTTGCAGCTAGATTCCAGATTACTTAGAAAAACAGTCTTTTATATATTACATACTATATTGCATACAAATAAAAACCCAGCGAAGCGGGTCCTTGCAGCTAGTATACTTATAAACAAGGAAGGTAATGAACAGGAATACATGAGTATAGAATCTGTGGACATCACTGCACAGATTCTTCCTCTTGCAACAACTCTGACCACTTGCCACTATCAAATCACTTCAAAGTCTCAAGTTTTAGTTGAAATCAAAAAATACTAAATTTCTCAAAAACTATCAGTTTACAAATGTAATATACATATATGAAAATTATTTGTTGTTTTCCCCAATATAAGTGATCCATTATCATGACCTAAAATTGCAGTTTTCTTTGAATAAAATGCAGGTCTTTATAGGAATATATTTATGTCTCAGAATAACCATGCAAATGCTAAACAAAATCTGTGAAATATGTTTCTGAGCCTCCTCTTGTAGACATAGAAATTTACTTCATGGTGATTACAAATGAGGTATTGTAATGTATTTATATGTATTTCATAAAGTGTTTGTATAGTTATTTCACTCTTAATGGGGCATAGTCAGTTTGGTTTTGATGTAATAGTATGCTGAACAGCAGTGCTTTCCAAACAATTTTCAGCCAAATTTGGCTTTCAATACATGTTAATTGACTGACAGACATATTTGACACATCATTATAAAGATAAAAATAGGTGTACTTTTCATGTACATGGAATATACAGTTGATCCCCCTATAACACTGTTGATTATTCTGTTTTATATGAATTCCATGTTGTACGAGTCCCCTAGATTTTACAAATATGTGAGCTGTTCATAGCCCGGCACACACATATTTGTAAAATCTAAGTGACTCATACAACATGGAATTCATATAAAACGGAATTATCAACAGTGTTATAGGCTGGATCAACTGTACAAAATATTTGTGGTATACTTGCAACTTATGGACAATTTAACTGTCAATTGAAAAGTTTGGATACCACTGCTACACAGAATTACTTACAAAATGTAAAATAAATGTAAATAAGTAAACCAAATGATAAACTTTTCCTGATAAAAGCTTTATTTTTCTTTCTTTTAATTTCCTGTTTAAAATTATTATTTGAAAAATAGTTCCATTTAAGTAATGAAAATTGAAATTATTATGAAATATATACTGAAATTATACAATTTTTTTACAGTTCTGGGAAGGACGGAACTCCAAAAGAATATTATACTTTAGAATGTTTGTTATTTTTGTTAAAAAATGTTCATCTCTCCCATCCTGTATATGTACGCCAAGCAGCAGTAAGTATTTAAATTGTATTTCCAGTGAGAAAAATTTCTATTATTATTAAATCTTTTAAAAATTTTAAATATAATATATAATATATTAATTTTCTGATTAAAACTAACTTTATTAGGCAGAAAATATTCCCGTAGTAAGACGTCCTGACAGAAAGGTAAATTATAATTTAAATTGCTTATAATTGTAATTATGTTAATTACATTCACCAATTCTTTGATTATCAATTAGTATCATTATTTTTGATTTTAGAATATTTAAACTTCAATAATTAAGTTTTGTTTCTATTTTTTAATTTATTTTATGAATGATAGAAGTAATTTGATTTTGAGTAGAAAAGTATACAAGAATTTTTAAAATTATTTTCATAAAAAATAAGCTTTCTAGTTAATTTTGATATAATGAATTTTTATGATTTTTTATTTGTAATTAGAAGTCTAATTATAATGATATGGAGTTGGAAGAAGAAGAGTTAATCTTATTAAGACATTATATTTTTAAACAGAAAATGAATAACTTTCGGTTATAATTTGCTTTTTTAAACAGTTGTTCAAAATATTAATTTTCTGTGAACATAATCATTTTGCATATAAAGTGGATTCTGAATAAATTAGGACATATTGGGACTAACACACTAACACATTTTGGCTCAGTTAAGTGTGAACTTCACAATAATGTGAAGTTCATGTAAAGTGTTAAAACATATGACACAAAAGACAGACTATCATTTTATTGAGCAATAAAATACTTAATTCTAGAACAAATGATACAGATCAGAAAAAATATTTATGCTAAAAATTATTTTAATTTAATGTATGTGTTACTGTGAATGACCGATATCTGGCGAATGTCAACATTCTCTGGTGAATGTCAACATGCACACAGTCGTTTTGTGTATGTACGAAATATTTGCTAAATATCATTATTTCTCACTTACATCGGCAAATGTCGCCATTCATCATGCGCTGATGGTGAATGTTGAATAAAAATATTTTATTACGTTAAGACAAAAATGCAACATTTTAATATGTGAAAATAGGAGAAAGCTTAATTAAGTAACAGCATATTTAAATAAATTGTTGAACCTAAAACAAACAGTACATTCTTAATCATTAAAGAAAATAATACAATAATAAACTTACACATAAATTATGTGATTAATCTTATTTATTGCAACAATTCAAACTGTTATGGTACTTTGAATTGCACAAGAGTCCCTTGCTTTTGCAACTGCATTTATTCGTGGAACACTTTTTTTACAATGACAGCAGGTATAGCCTTGCCCTCCACTGTTTGAATTAGCTACAGCTGCTTCTCTCAGTGATATTTCTTGAGAAGAAATCTCATCTATGGAAAGTAACTTTTCTTTACAAATTACGAACTGATTACGTTATTACGTGATTACAAACTGATCTGTTAATGGTGTCTTTTGTTCAGATATTGCCGACGCCTTACCGACGATCCCTCTCATCCTTTGCCACTCGACCTGACAAATCGATCCCCACCTCTCGGGATCAAAAGACCTTTTCCTACCTCCAGCTACCCACAAAGGATTTGGTGACAGATTGTCGCCTCTGTCGACATCGGTTTCTCGAGTGTCGTTTCGACCTCTACCAAAGCTTATCTGTGCTTGTCGACATACACCGGCGATTATTCGAATGTATAATAATATAACCAAATATTCGGACTTTCACCGACGTATTTTGTATGTGTCGACATTCACCGGAGAATATCGACATTCTCTAATTTCGGTCTTTCACAGTAACATATGCATCGATATCAATCATTAATTGCTTCAATTGGCATATCACAGAATCCTACTAGACAAAATCTTAATGGACAGAATCCTACTGGATAAATTCCTACCAAGATAAGATCCTACCATCCTACTTTCCTATCAAAGGAAAAATATACAAGGTGTTCACTTTTAACATTTATCCAGGCACAAAGATATTTCCAGCATTGCACAAGTATGTTCATAATCTATGGTGCCTTAGCTTCTTTGTAGTGTTTATATGAAAATTAAAAATGCAATCTGCACAAATCATGAGGAAATATGTGACATTTACAGTATAATAGAACCAACATTCTGCAATCTACTAATTGGTAAGACACTGTGTTAATGTCTTATATTCACAAACACTACTGTGAAATGATTTTACATTATGAGGAAACAAAATAAATACCTCACCATAAACTGGAACCAAATATTCGCAAATCACACGTAAATTCAAACTTTCCAGCAAATAAAAGTAAAAAAATATAAAGATCGAATGTTTTCGGCCACTAAATTTATCGGCCTTCCTCAGGAAATACAAACTGGAAAAACCGTTCTATAAATAGAAACATAGCTGCCTTGTAAATTTTAAAAAAACGAAAACGGCTGTGACGTATCGTGTATGACGTATATTATAAGTCTAGATAGTGTTTCCATGCCGATGATACATGAATGACATCCGTGTTGATGCAGTTTCCACTCTTGCTTGCATTGTAGATCTCCACTGCTTCTAAAATTTTAATACTTTGCCTGTCGAAGACCTTGTGTACTAGCTTGGCCTGGTCCCAACAGGGGGAAACCCCCAGATCGCTGGCATACCATACTAAAGCCATATTGATGTTATCTTTTAGCACGTCATATTTGTGTTCTTTTAGTCTGGCTTGCAGCAATCTGTACATGGATCCTATATAAGCTAGCAATCTGTCAAACCTCTCATCATATAGGGGGATGTAGTAAATCCCAGAAACTAGAGCTTCCTCAGTGTCGTCCTTTGCATTTGAGAGAAGGCGGAAAATGGTGGGTTTCCTTCTATAGGTAAGGAGTACATTTAAATTATTTGCAATCCTTCTATATATGTGATGTAGCGTCAGTTTGTAGTCTAAGATCACCCGATTTGCTTCTGCTTTGTTAACATTGTTAGATGACTGAGTTAGATATTTGGATGCCAGATTGTCGATAAACATGTGGCCATATCCATGGTTGGATTCTACTTGTTTGAGATGTTCCAGTTCCTTGTTGGTATCCGACAAATGTGTAGAATGGGAGTAGGCTCTGGCCACAAGTGTACGGAATGCGGATGTCTTATATGACCATGAGTCCACTGAATTGGAAGGTATGAATAGGGGGTGGAAGAAGCCTTGTGGTAAATTGTTGTGACGAATTTGCTATCAGCTACTTGAATCCTGATGTCTAAGAAATTAATGCTATTACAGCTCTCCTGATCCAACTTTAGTGTTAATTCGTAGCTGTTATTATTAAACACTTTTAACACCTCCCCAATATCAAGATGTTTTCTCCATACAATTAAAATGTCATCGACATATCAGGTGTACAGAAGGATGTTATGCTTGATGTTTTTTAATGACCACTCCTCCAATTGTCGTAGGACCAATTCACAGAGATCCCCTGAAGGGGCTACCCATGGGTACTCCATGTTTTTGGATGTAGGTATGTTTGTTAAGACGGAAACAGGACGAATAGCATAATAAGTGAGTAAGCTCTAATATCTGTGAGTCGTACAATTGTGCATCAGGGATAGAGCTTAGAAAGTAATCTCTCAATGCACGGAAGCAAGGTTCCAATTGTATAGACAGAAACATGGAAATAAAATCGAAGACTGCAAGGTGTTTGTCTCCATTTAAACTAATAGCCGCCAGTTTGGAGAGAAGGGCATCTGAATCTGAGATCGTGTATGTGTACAAATGCAGGTGGTGTCTTAACATGTGATGTATCTGTTGTTCCGATACGAATGTTGGGAATCTGGCTTTATTGATTACCAGACGTAATTGTTGACCGGGTTTATGCATTTTAGCAAAGGTGAACAGGCGTGGAGTGTCTGGAGAGCTGACCACCGCATGTCTCAGGCCAAGTGTGTTTGCAAGACCAGTGCGTGTGAACTTACTGACATGACTTTGTAGTTTTGTTATATATGTGGCATCCGAGAGCTGACATTGTGTGTACACTATGTAACATTTGTTGGATACCAACAAGGAACTGGAACATCTCAAACAAGTAGGATCCAACCATGGATATGGTCACATGTTTATCGACAATCTGGCATCCAAATATCTAACTCAGTCATCTAACAATGTTAACAAAGCAGAAGCAGATTGGGTGATCTTAGACTACAAACCAACACTACATCGCATATATAGGATTGCAAATAATTTAAACGTACTCCTTACCTATAGAAGGAAACCCACCGTTTTCCGCCTTCTCTCAAATGCAAAGGACTACACTGAGGATGCTCTGGTTTCTGGGATTTACTACATCCCCCTATATGGAGAGAGGTTTGACAGATTGCTAGCTTATATAGGATCCATATACAGATCGCTGCAAGCCAGACTAAAAGAACACAAATATGACGTGCTAAAAGGTAACATCAATATGGCTTTAGCATGGTATGCCAGCGGTCTGGGGGTTTCCCCCTGTTGGGACCAGGCAAAGTATTAAAATTTTAGAAGCAGTGGAGATCTACAAGGCAAACAAGAGTGGAAACTGCATCAACATGGATGTCATTCATGTATCATTGGCATGGAAACACTATCTAGACTTATAATATACGTCATACACAATACGTCACAGCCGTTTTTGTTCTTTTAAAATTTACAAGGCAGCTATGTTTCTATTTATAGAACGGTTTTTCCAGTTTGTATTTCCCGAGGAAGGCCGATAAATTTAGTGGCCGAAAACGTTCGATCTTTATATTTTTTTACTTTTATTTGCTGGAAAGTTTGAATTTAGGTGTGATTTGGAAATGAGGCAAAATGCATGAGAAGTAGCATGTAGACTCCATAAGTATGTTCCATCTGCACCAAGACCAAAATGTTTTTAACTGTATACTATAGCAAAATAAGAATAATTGTTTCTGTATTAATTTACGCAATATTGTTTTAAATACATGTTATGAATTAAATAAAGAATTCTAGTGAAGTTGTGAGTCTCTTGTAAAATGATAAATTATAAGAAAGCAATTAATTGGATGTTGTTTTCAAAATAACTTATTTAGGGAGACAGAAATGCAAGTTTTTATAAAATCTTCAGTGGTTACATAATCAAGATATAGATTCATTACATTAGAGAGATGACAACAAACTACAATATGTACTAAACTAATTATACTTCATTCAATGAAAGATTAGTCTCCTTATATGATAAGA